GGTGTTTCAGCTGAAGAACTGAAACAGTCTCCTGCCCGTGTTTTCAGCTTACAGAAGCTCGTTGAGATCAGTTATTACAATATAGCTCGTATTCGAATGGTACTCTTCTTATAGTCTTCTATCCTACTCGATGCATCATTAACTATGAGAACTTATTCACAGTCACAACACACCCTATCCTCGCACCTCATGCAACTTAGTATGAATACACTAGGAATGAACAAGATTAATAATAACATATTCAGAAAGTAGAGTGAAATACTTTGTTAACTTTTCTGTCTAATCTGTTCTAAATTTTGATTATCTCTAGTGTGCATTGTAACAAGTTTTGGTGTCTGTTATAAAGTTTTTTCCTCACGCCCCTGTCAAAGTTATATTGAATGGCCGATAGATTATATATCTTAGGCTATACATGTATTTTGGTACTTAAAATATATGGAAATGTTACTTACTTTGTGTTTGCTTTTGTGACATATACCAGGTCTGGGCACGAATATGGTATGTCCTTGCTGAACATTTCGTATCTGCTGGTAGCCATCATGATGAAAAGATTGCAATGTATGCCATAGATTCTCTGAGACAGCTTGGAATGAAGTATTTGGAACGTGCTGAGCTCACCAATTTCACTTTCCAAAATGATATCCTGAAACCGTTCGTTATTATCATGCGGAATACTCAAAGTCAGACCATAAGGAGCCTAATTGTTGACTGCATCGTTCAGGTTGCTTGCTTGGTCTTTTCTAAATTGGAAAATTAACGTGTGCTCTGTTTTTCAGCAGCTAATCAATCTTTTTTTCTAGATGATAAAATCTAAAGTTGGAAGTATAAAATCGGGTTGGAGGAGTGTTTTTATGATATTTACAGCAGCTGCAGATGACGAAGTTGAATCGATAGTTGAAAAATCATTTGAGAATGTTGAGCAAGGTGACAACCTGTCCACCAAACTCTTGCACTTGTATCTTAGCTTTAGTGTATTTTCTCGCTCTTGCGTTTCGACAAAGTTTTGTGTAACCACTAGTTTGTTTGCAGTTATTCTGGAGCACTTTGACCAGGTGATTGGTGACTGCTTCATGGATTGCGTCAACTGTCTCATCAGGTTTGCCAATAACAAAGCTTCCGACCGGATAAGCCTGAAAGCTATTGCCCTTCTCAGAATATGTGAGGATCGGCTTGCAGAGGTATGTTTCAAGCTAAATTTAGCTTGACATTTTAGCATTTTACTCTTCAATTTTAATTTAATCCTGTACTCTACTATAGTCCTTCCTGTTCGTATCTACTTTCTGAGCTGTCTTCAAACTCCCTCGCTTCCTTTTGAATTCTCCATCTGTGACTACGTATGCTCATTTGCCTAGCTTATGATGATTCTCAGGGACTTATACCTGGTGGTGTTCTCAAGCCCGTCAATACCAATGAGGATGAAACTTTTGATGTGACTGAGCATTACTGGTTTCCGATGCTTGCCGGTTTGTCTGATCTCACGTCAGATTTAAGGCCTGAAGTCAGAAACTGCGCTCTGGAGGTGTTGTTTGATTTGCTCAATGAAAGAGGCAAAAAGTTCTCCACACCTTTCTGGGAGAGTATCTTCCATCGCATCTTGTTTCCAATTTTTGATCATGTGAGTCATGCTGGAAAGGATGGCTTAATGACTTCTGGTGATGTAAAATTCCGTGAAACAAGCATTCATTCCCTTCAGCTCCTCTGCAATCTCTTTAATACGTTCTACAAGGTACTGATAAAGCTTTTCATTTTTTCCTTTTTGTGAACATTTTGTCAATTGTTTGTTCATTTAACTTTCAGACTTTTTGCAGTACTTGTCATGTTTACCACATGAAATCGTACAGAAAATTTCTCTTAACATGCAACGTTGGAACATACTATTGTGTGCTGCAAATTTGACCATTGAATTTTCATCTTTGGAGCAGGAAGTTTGTTTTATGCTGCCTCCCCTTTTAAGTTTGCTCCTAGACTGTGCAAAGAAATCAGATCAGACAGTTGTTTCAATTTCTTTAGGAGCATTGGTTCACCTCATAGAGGTTGGAGGCCACCAATTTAGTGAGGGCGACTGGGATATGCTCTTGAAAAGCATAAGGTGACCATCTTTCATAACAAACTGTTATCTACAAATGTTGTTGTCTAATTTTTCCTTTCGGGTTCTAGAGATGCATCATACACAACTCAACCGTTGGAGCTGTTGAACGCTTTGAGTTTTGACAATCCAAAAAAGAATCTAGATCTGACCGGAGATGTAGAGGCTGATACCTCTGATTCTCCGCGGATTGATCATGACGCGGACGATAATGGAAAAGTTTCCACCCAGGCATCTCCAAGGATTGGTACTCATGGTGCTTCCCTAGAATCTGGGATACAGCCCAAGTCTGATGGTTCTGAAGGTTATCTCTCTTAATTTGTGTAAACTTTGGATTTATGGTTGACAATTTACAATAAATATCTCTTATGATGTTGGAAAAGTTCTGCTAGTGAAGTAGGAATTTGACAGAAAATTTAATTTGTACAACGCCATGTTTCTTACCTTTATGTTTTCCATTAAAGGGCGTCCGTCGTCATCTGGAAGGTCTCAAAAGGATGCAGATGATACGAATCTGCAGCGGAGTCAGACTTTTGGTCAAAGATTCATGGACAATCTCTTCCTTAGAAATCTCACATCTCAACCGAAAAGCTCTGCTGCAGAGGTGTCTGTACCCTCTTCTCCATATAAGGTATTTTGCGTGTGCACTCCTTAGCTTGCCTTCCTTTTGATATAGCTTTGCTAATTTAAATTCTTCACAGGCCTTTCCATTTTTTTTCTCTGTCAGAGTTCTCTTGTTTCTCCTAATAATATGATATATAGGGAAAAATCTTTACTAATTACGTCCTCCTGTAGCATGTGGGCCCTACAGAGCCCGACAGCAGAGAAGAAGAGAGTCCATCTCTGGGAACTATTAGAGGCAAATGCATCACACAGTTACTACTACTTGGTGCTATTAACAGTATCCAGGTATTTAGACATCTTCTCTCCTTCGCTATTATGTATGCTCTAAAGCAAATGCTCTTTATACTTGAACACCTGATCCCCAGTCAGCTTTAGAGGAAATGTGTGGCGTATTGTTGAACTGACAGTTGCTTTTTTTTTTTCCTGTTTGATCTCTTAATTATGTAGCAAAAATACTGGAGTAATTTGAAAACACCACAGAAGATTGCGATTATGGACATCTTATTCTCTTTCATAGAATTTGCTGCTTCCTACAATTCATACTCGAACCTCAGAACACGTATGAATCACATTCCCGCGGAGAGGTTAGTGACAAAGCCTTTGGAATGAGTTATGAATAAATAGTTTTCCTACTTAAGATAGAATTTGAACTATTCGTTATTTTACAGGCCACCTTTAAACCTTCTCCGGCAAGAGTTGGAAGGAACCACCATATATTTAGATGTCTTGCAAAAGACAACTTCTGGGCTTGCGGATGTTGCATCTAACACAGAAGATAAACTAGAAGGTGCAGCGGAAGAAAAATTGGTGTCGTTCTGTGAACAGGTCTTGAAAGAAACATCTGATCTCCAGTCCACTTTGGGGGAGAGTACTAACATGGATGTTCATCGGGTACTGGAGCTACGTTCTCCCGTGATTGTGAAGGTAATATACATCTTAATTGGCCACAAATGTTTTAGCTGAGTCTATAAAATCTTTGATAGAAAGGATAACTTTTCTTATGTCCTCTTGTTCTAGGTTCTGGAAGGCATGTGCTTCATGAACAACAAAATATTCAGGACACACATGAGAGAGTTTTACCCTCTGCTCACAAGGCTTGTCTGCTGCGAACAGGCAAGTTCCTGAATTCCCTTCAATTCGTTTCTCTTCTCTTGTAGATTTTTCACACTCCTCCCCACCTGAACTTTGTTTATGGTAGAGAGCTAAGTCCACGAGTTTTTGTGTGTGCAGATGGACATACGAGGTGCACTGGCCAACCTTTTCAAAGCACAATTGAAGCCTCTTTTGCAACAGTAAATGATCATCTAATCCGTGAAATTGTGGCAAGCAAACACACTCCTCTCATGTCCCGCAGTTTGGGTTGTCTTTTCTACATTGGAAACCCATGTTTCTCATCTCCTGATTAGAGTAGAGAGCACACTTGTTCCTCACGTCTCGATTGCCAATGGTACTCATACTGTAGCAGTTGTTATTGAGATTCTTGCTCCCATCTCATTCATGTCAGACTGAAAAAGCCTCAAATTTAACGGTATTTTTTGTTGATCCATAGTATTTTCTTTTCTACTGTTGTTCAAAGACGCCCTCCACGTTAAGTATCCGAAAAGGTTTTATTTAATTTTATTTGTGGTCAGAGAGACTCGTTTGCATCTTAGACATTGTGGAGTTGATAACCAAAATTAAATGATATGGGCCATCACAAAAGTTGGAAATCTATTAGGACACGCTTTCACTAAAATATAATTGCGAAATTATTTTTGATTAATCATATATATTATCACGCTAAAAATATGAAGTTTTTCTTTTGTACATCAGTCAAGGGTCTTTTCTCCATTCAATAATGGTTCCTTTCCTCAATCGCTTCAATCCCTCCAGTTCAATGTTGGTTCTTGTTCGTTCCCATTCCCAGCATTATTATCCTTCTCTCTCTAGAATCACTGTTCTCTCCACGATCAGGTCATCCTCCAATAACCGGAGCCGACGGAGATTTCTACGAAGGTACTTGGAGAAGGAATCTACAAGAAGGTATGTATTGAGAAACCGGAAAATGGCGCATTGGCAATTTTGGGAAAGGTTTGTTTGTTTGGCCGAACGGGAATCGATACGAAGGTCAATGGGAAAACGGAATCCGAAAGCAAGTGGAGTTCTTCTCACTTGGGCTGAGAGTAACATCATGAGGAAATATGATTGAGAAGAATGATTTGATTGTAGCGACGAGGAAGAGATCTTCTGTTGTAGTGGAGCTGGAAGCTTCGAGAGAAGATTTTCCTCAGAATCTGTATATGGGAATCTAATGGAGAAACTGGGCCGGGAAATATCTATCACTTGTGATATCATTGATAACATTAAAAGCATCCATGATTTATACAGAGATGGGTTTCGTCACTTTACGAAGAATCCTTATTGATTTAATGGCATAGCGAAGAAACTATATGGAAAAGGCAAAAGAAATATGATTTGATGCTGAATTTGCAATAAGGAATCATGGACAGGATTTCTCAAATTCGATGGATTTGGTTAATCTTGCAGTTATGATGAAAACGTCTCATCTTTCCTTAAGAGTATTGAAGCTCGAAAAACAGGTGATGCGTGGACTTATGGCAGGAGGCTTCACAATGCAGAGAGTTTACTTCAAATGTTACTGGATTTACATTAGTTATAGACTACATGGAAGTTTCCAGGAACCATGATTAACGACCTCAGGATTAGAAGCTAAAAGAGGAATAGCTGCCACTCTCGGACCTGCTTCACTTGTTAGATCGATTAATGGCCCCAACGCAGTCCACTTGTCATGCCAAAACAAAGCTCTTATCCTGGATTTGAGGAGGCAGATAATGTCCGATCTTACAAGCGCTTCGAGTTTAGTAACAGACTGAACTTGGCAAGACCAAGAGAAGCCTGTGCTAATATCGAATAACACTTCATACTAAGCATATAAGTAAAGGCTCTTGGTTTGATTAATTTTATGTAATAATATTTGTTTCCCACTTCTTCTCTTCGTTATTGGTTTTAGTTTGTAGCTCTTATATATGGACTTCATCTCTATCGGCAAGGACCGCAAGCAGTTGGTGAACATTGGCTCTATGAGAAAATCCACATGGGACAAAGAATTGGAGAAACAGTGATATCTACTGTGCAGTACATGCAGAGGTCCCAAATAGTGAAGATCACCTTTTTCTCATCATAACTGATTTTTTTGTACGTTCTAATAATCCTTACTTTTGATAAATTTTTGTTACAATACTCAGGTCTATTTTGTTTTCATAGCAATTCTCTGACTTCTATATATCAGAGCAAAGTGTATGTTGTCCC